TTCACTATCCAGTGGAGTGCAAAATAACACTTTGCCTCTCTGATCCTTTAGATCTCTGCCTTTGGAAGTCTTTTAGGCTTTTCTTTGCTCTTCCAGACTCTTATTTCTACCTTTTACCCTCATGTGACTCCATGGGGTTTAAAAACTTGTGAAAGTCACTTCTAAATAGCTTTCCTTTTCTTGAGTTATTTTATTATTTTAATAAAAAATAAATAAGTATTAATAATTTGAGCAAAACTGAACGATAACAGTCAAATCCGGTTGGTCTTATTTCTTAGGTTCTCCTACCTGATAAGTACAGGAACTCCAATCCCAGGATGTTACAGAGGTTGAATCCCCTGCTATGATTGTATCTGCTACAATATTAGGATAATTACTGAATTATTCTGTGCCTCAGTTTCCTCATCTGTATTATGTGGATGTTATAAAACATTTATCAATGGGTAGTTATGTGGAATGAGCAATTTGATATATGTAAAGTTCTTAGTACAAGAAATATATAAGGTTAGTTGTTGTATGTAAGAGTTTTAATGAGTTTTATATTATCAAGGATCTGTAGATAGAGTTGGCTTGAAAAGTAAGGATTTAAAATCTCTGAAAGAGTTCTCAGGAGATCAGAAAGTTTTCATTAACCTTCTTCAACTTGCCTCTTGGCTGTCTTCCTTAATATCAAAAATGCCCCATATATGTTTCTTGTTAAAGGGAATGCAGGTTATTGCCCCAAACAGCAGGGAAAGAACAGGTTTAGAAGGTCACTTAAGCAGACTTTTAAAGTCCTTCCCTGAGTTCCTTCTCCTGCTGTTCATAGGGCTATAGAAGAGTCCTATGGTGTAGAAGAGAACAAGAAGCTATGAAGCTACACTTTCTTCTCCAGCACAGAAACATCATGAGAACAGTAACTCTCCTCGGCCAACATGATTGTCCATAGGTTTTGTGAACTGTATAATGTTGATGAACCATTCTTGCCCTATCACAGAGAGGACTACACAGCTACTCCTTTCTATTTCTCTCCATGTCCACTAATGAGGTCCAGGTTGAAGAGCTAGTTAATTGGACCATGACCATCCATCTGGAGTATTTTATACTAAGGGGTACATAGCCTTGCCGGGAGCTATGTGGCCAGGCTTACAGAGTGTGCTCACCAGAGATAATATATTTGAACTGATATGTTTCAAAGCCATCGTCCCCTTCTGGACCCCATTATAATTTGCATGTGCTCCATGTGATCAATCTACAATTGTTCATTCTCTACAAAAGTATTGTAAGCTTTAAGGAAATGTATTTTAAGATCTGAAACTCTAAAATTGCTCTGCTTGAGACATTCCATAAGATTAGTTTTGAATTCTGCCTCTCCCTTCTAACAATTCCCACATTACAAAATGTCCAAGACATAATATTCCTTGAATTTTTTTGTCAAATCCATCATCTGCCTATTATGTACAGTGTCACTTTTTTGTATTCATTTTAGTTATACATGACACTAGAGCCAATTTTGACATATTTATAGAAATTTGGGGTCTATCTTATTCTAATTAGGATCCCAGTCTTATGAATATACGTCACTCTTGTGGGAGAGTCCTACAAAAGTAAGGCAGAGAAGTACCAAAGACAATGGTACAGCACATTATTGCATCAGCTCATTGCAAAGCCAGTGAATTCTCTGTCATCAAATTAGAACTTAGATATCAGAGATGTTGTCTTACTGAGGACGGATTTAACACATTAATATAAACAGTATTCTGATTTCCCCAATATTACTGTGTGCTTTGGGTTAAACAAGGTTCTCCAGGTGAATGAATGCTCAGTGTTTAAGTGCCCCTGATGTTTTATAGTTATTTAATAAGACCTGGGAAGGTGTTATGAGTATACTTTTCAGATTTTAAGAAATTGAATGAATCTAATACTAGGTTTAAACCTGTTTACATATCAGGTATTTTCCAATTCATTGCTTTAAAAGAAATTGAAAGAGGAACTAATGGAGTTGTCAGCACTGAGATTATTAAAATAATTTTTGAAATTATATTCCTATGTGTTTTTTTGGTATATATCTTGGGAGGTATCTGAAGAATTGATTGTCATTGTTACACAAAATTTTAATTTCCATGTCTGTGCTTATGTGAAAAGGTTTCTTTAAAAGCAAAAAGAGAAATAGAATTGCTCCTAAACTCCATCTCATTCTAGCAGTATGTGGTATTTTTATTAATGATATAAAAAGACTTATCAATGTAATTAAGAGCTATATTTACAGGAAAAATTAACTTTTATATGTCTGATTATTACTTAAAATGTGCAATATATTTTTGTTGCTTTATCTATTTTATGTTTATAATCATAACTCATTTTAAAAGCAAATATTATAAATTAGAAGTTTATAGTCATGATATAAAAGAAATTTAGATTTCAATCTCTAAACTTTTTGTTGCAAATCAATATGATAGGTGATCAATAAAAGATTTTCAAGTATAAAATATATTCTGCAGGGAACATATAATGGAAATATAATTTTTTCTTAAGTTTAAAAGAAAATAATGCACATTTTATGACTTTTAAAGAAGAGCTTTTAGATGTATTTTGAAAGTGGATAATCATGAGTGTCAATCACTATGGTGTTTAAATTTCATTGAACACACAGATGTTCACACATGCACAAGGAATTCTGTGACTTTTTACATTTTAAAACGAACATATTCTCTACTGGCCAAGAAATAAATCCTTTGAAACTACAATTTAAATAAATTTTATGCCAATTTACACATGTGCAACGGGTTACATAGCTAACCAAAATAAAAATTTAAAAAAAATATTTGCACATGGGATATGTATGGTACCTGAGACTGGCAGGTGACCCTCTTCACCGTGTCCCAATTTTTTATCCACTTCTAACGAATGCCCATTCCTGGAATTCTGCTACTAGAACTTCATTCTTTTGGAGGAGGTATTGAAACAGAGATTTGGTCTTTATGAAAATATAACCATCCTTATGAAATCTTTTACATTAGTCTCTATTAATCATTGAAAACTGAGAAGGAATAATTTCATTATTTTTTTTCTAAGAAATGTTTTTGAAAGTGAGGAGCAAGGAAGATCCATTAGGGTTTCAGTTTTCATAAGGAAAATGGAAGATTGATAAAGAATAAAGAAAACTGAGCACAAAAATTCACTAGGACCCCAGGATATGGAGGTATACCTAAACCAGTGATTTACCCGTTAGGATAGGAAAGAATCATTCAATGGCACCTTAATTATCAGGTTCCAATAATGAATGCAACTGGACCTCCAAAACTCACCTCACTGATCTGAGAGACTTGCCTGGAAATGATTCAGAATTAGATCTGTAATTAGAGTTTCAATAGGAATATAAGCACATGAATGTACTTCAGGTGAAAAGCAAGCCAACACAAGCTTTATACATGTGAATAGATGTCTATGAGAAGATGTCCATGAAACAAGAACTTAAGGGCACTGCAAGTTGACGAAGAAGAAAAGACAAGCTTGATTTCTTTTGTGATCTTTGTATTATACACATATATTATTCACTTTCTGTTGATCACATGTTTAAACATTCTTTTTATTTGTTTTTATGCGTTTATAGTATGGAAAAATAGAAAAAGGATTTAGTAAAGAACAGTTTTTCCTTACCACAGTATGAAGGCAGCACCCCTATGAAAACCACTCCATCCCTACTTCACAGTCACCAGTACCTGCAGAGTGACAGGTGGGCTGGGATGAAGAAAACATTGGTAATTGGAGGCTAGCATTATTTTTATCTCTTCTACCAGTGAGGGAGAGGACCTTTCTTGACCCCTTAAAAAAAAAAGCTGTCTTTTTGGTTTTTCAAGACCCTGGGTCATTCAGGCAATGTCAGGTTGGTCTCTTTGCCAATGCCTGCTCTTTGTTGTTCTCCTATCTCTGAACCTTATCTGAAGGATCTCTGCTGTATATTGAGTGATAGATCAGATATAGTGAGTTAAGGCCTTTTTGTTCCCTGGAGTTCTCAGGTTCCTTTCCGTGCTAGGTCATTATTGCTATTTGTCATTGCATATGTCTGTACAAAGCCACGGGTAGCAAGTAAGCACACCAGGGTCCTTCAGAGCATACCCACTTTTATAAAGGAGTCCATTTTCTCCTGTTTCTATTTTCATGTTCAAACTCCTATGGTACATCTGCAAATGTTCTTCCCCACCTGCAGGTACATTTATTTCTGCATGAGGGTTGATAGCCTGCAGGTCATACATATCAACAAGCAAATTCCATTTGCATATATAGCCTGGGCGGAGTAGGGGGTTGACTCTCCACTTTGAAAATCACATTCTTTTCATTCTCAACTGGGCAGAGGGAAAAGTACATAAAGGAAGGGGTGTGCTGTTGATAGTTTCTGTGTTCCCTGCCCTAAAATCTTGAGGCAATGATGACTTTTTCAGAAAATGTTGGCTTTTCCAAGGTGAATTTTACAATCCCTGTAATAAACTGTAGTTCACAGGCTTTGGGCAGCTTAGGGGTACAAGGAGATTATCAACACCTGGGAGGTCTGGAAGTAAATAAGTTCAAGTTTTGATTAACTAAAAGTTAAGTATTTGCTTTGTGGATTATCTGTGACCTATTTGAAATACTGATCCACTTTTGCACCCCTGTGCCTCTGGGCCATTTCTCCCACAAGATGGTAAATGTGCTCAAGAAATATAAACTAATTTTCACATAAGCCTAAGGGGAAAATAAGAGGGAAACCAAATGCGCAATGAAGATATTCACATAATATGTTCCTACATCAAATAGAAATGATTTTGCATCATCAGTTCTTCAGAATGATTCAAACCTCTCTTACCTTATACTTAGGACTTTTCATATATAATTGATTGTTTCCTTGTAGCACTGTTATGTAAATTCATTTACTTCTTGATATACACTACTATATTGATAATATAATTTCTTATCATCTCTCTCTTTCTCCTTTCTTCCTCTCTCTTTCCCCATCCTATCCCCATGTCACTCACAGGTGTACCATAGATGATCGGGTCACTCGGGTGGCCTGGCTAAACCGCAGCACAATCCTCTATGCTGGCAATGACAAGTGGTCCATAGACCCTCGTGTGATCATCTTAGTCAACACACCGACCCAATATAGCATCATGATCCAAAACGTGGATGTGTATGATGAAGGTCCGTATACCTGCTCTGTTCAGACAGACAATCATCCCAAAACTTCCCGGGTCCACCTCATAGTGCAAGGTAAGTCACACCTGGACCAAGGGCCGACATTCCGTTCAGTGATGGAGGGGAAGAGGGATCTTAGTCTTTGTTCTGTAATGTTAAAAGGCACAAAAGTTTACTTTGTTGAATACATAGACTGAGAACTGAATATCTTTTGAAAGTTTTTTTAAATATATTTTGTCTCTAGTCCTTCTGTTCTCAATGGTAAATTATTTTGTCTTTACCAGTTAAACCTCTTAAGTAACTTAGCATGCTAGAGATGGGGAATGATATATTCAATGATATATGAATGCAGTAGCACTCAAGACACTTTTTATTGCCTTTCGAGTATTGTTTTATAATAAAAGGCTAATGTTGATGTGAAATCATGTGACTTTATTTTTGCATAGCTGCTGGTTGTGCATATTCTGAGTTGGACCCTCATGTTGGTCAAAAAGTTTCTGCCTGGCATTGCTGCTATGTTTAAACTCTTTCATTTCTACAATGGAGCCTAGAGCCAAGAGGAGCATTAGTCAAATATCTCCATGTCAATGTTGGAAGCAAATACATGTAATTAAAAAGATATAGGACATAGGTAGAATGGCTTAGCTTGTTCTCTTTTTTTAATTGATTTTTTTAAAAAAAATGACAGTGGAATGAATTACAATACAGTACAATTTTTCATACCTCTAGTTGTATATAAAGTATGTTGACATCAATTTGTGTCTTCATACATGTACTTTGGATAATGATGTATATCATATTCGACCATCCTTGCTAATCCCCTGCCCCTTCTCTCTTTCCCTCCCACCCCTCTGCCAGAGGGAGCATGGGAGGAATAGATGAATTCTCGTTCTCTCTTTAATTAATAATTAGTATAGATCAGGCACAGTATCATGTTTGCTTTTTAAAATAGTTTTAAATTTAAGTTACTCTTCGTAGCATAAAAACACAGAATTAAAGAAATGTCATAATCTCAGATATTAGGTACTAAATATTAAGAATTAAAAATTCATTCAGGTAGAATTTGTGAGAATTTGAGAACCCTTTGGAGGCAAGGCAGCAATCAAAATGAACTTATTTTCAACTGATCCAATTGCCATCACTGTGCAAAACATTTTCTGAGATACTGTCTCATGGTAGGGATTAAGTTCCAAGCAGACAAATTCCATCATCTAGAGGGACATCCCTCCTCCACCAAAGGAGAGGTTTAGATGGACATTTCTCAGAGCATCCTTGGTTGACATCTTTGGGACATACACTGAGCTCTTAAGATCTCCTTTTGTAATTTAGTTTTTAGCAACTTCCTTTTATAACATCACATCTGCCAACAAGTCAACAGTTTTTTTTTTCTTTAAGATTATGAGAGTGTACTACATCTTTGCTTAAAAATTTCCTCATCTCTGCTTTTTTTTTAAAAATATCCTATTCATTTCAGTTGATTTCATGGCAAGTGACTCATTAGGTATTAGTATCTATTCACATTAAGTCACTTCCACAATTCAGAATGTCCATTTTTTTCTTTGAACAGAGCAACTCTTTGCTAGCACAGCATCCAGGTTTGCCTCTGTGGGCCATTTTTTTTTTTTTGAGAGAGAGAGAGAGAGAGAGAGAGAGAGAATTTTTCAATATTTATTTTCAATATTTTTGGTGGACACAACATCTTTGTTTGTATGTGGTGCTGAGGATCGAACCCAGGCTGCATGCATGCCAGGCAAGCGCGCTACCGCTTGAGCCATATCCCCAGCCCCTCTGTGGGCAATTTGTAATGGATGTGTTGGACCAGGGATCTGTTTGCTGCAACTTCTGTTCCCCAGCAGTCCCTGGGACAGCCATATTGCTTGAAGCATGGCATCCATCCATCCTATGAGTCCTTTTCTCACCCCCACATGCTGTCAGATACAGACACTGCCATATGACAGATACCTCTAGGTGCTTCTTGTGCCCATTCTCCATTCATGTCCCATCCAGGGGAATAGCTGGGCAATGATCACTTTTGGGGAGCTACAAGACTGCCTAACATCTGGAGATAAAGACAACAGTCACATCTGATACATCTCAAAGGATGGGGGAGGCACTTGGTGGGATAATTGTAAGAGATGAGCTGGAATGTCTGCAGAAAGTTTCTGAGAATGTAGGAAATGGGACAGTTCTAGCTACTTCACCTACCACCTGGGCTTGGTTCCAGAGGAGCTGAGATTCTCAGCACTGGAAATGACATGTCAGTGGCACTTCTGTGGCCTGGACAACAAAGTCATCTTCACATTCAGGAAATGTGGCACTGAAATAAAAAATAACTGTCAGGCACTGTGCAGAAACAGACTCAAATAGAACAAAGCTATTGCTTTCCAAGGAATGAGACAGACTGTGTAAGCACATCAAAGTCAATACAGGCCATGAAGAGTTTGTGATGTTGGGCTTTGGGGGATGATGTTCTTTATAATGCACTTTGAGCAGTTCTTTGGACAGGAATGAGGAAGCCTATGGTATCTCTCTGGAGGTCTCCCAGCCTCTAGTCAGAAGGAGTGTGAGGATGGAGGAGATTCAAGGCAGCCGTTTCTTCTAGCCCAAAGGTCAGCTCCTCACAGTCTTCACATTTCAGATTCAGCCCTCCTTGACTCTGGCCATTTGAGGCAGCCTATGAATCCCAAATGCAAACATCGGGATGAGTAGAGGTGGAAGGGGAAGCTCTGCTCTTGGAACACTAGACAGATAGGTCTTTCTCTTTTCAAAGAGGCAACACCGAAGGAAATTGGGAGCTGTGCTCCCTTGTCTTGGTAGCAATGTGACAATGTGTTCTCACATTAGAAACCAGTTGAATTACAGAAATGGATGCAGAGACCCCACTGCTCAATGAGACAGAAGCCCAAGCATTCTCCTTCCTCCCAGGAGTTATCAGCTTTTGTCCAGTCTATAGATTAATTTTTTAGACTTAGTGTTAGTTCAGGTTAGATAAAGATAATGAAAGTTTCCTAATCCTCTTAAAGAAGATTTATCTGACTGAGTAGAAAGCTTTTGGAATACAATAAGGTGTGTATAAAACTGAGGCCTAATCTTGCCTTTAATTTCAAACTGCTGATGGATATTGATTTTGCAATGAGAAAAACTGAAAAATTTCCGAGCTGCAACTTGTCTGTTTTTTAAAAAAATGTTTATTTATCTTTTGTCCATTTGAGAATGTTAATATCTCATAACTTCTGCCAACTAGGTGCCATTAGCACGAGGAGATGATTCCCACAGGACTCCCAGCTTTATTTTCTTTTTCCTTCTATGTGAGGAACTGAGAGATACTCTGTGGCTAACCTCAGTGCCTGTCCTTTACTGTATAAAGCAGCCTTTGCCACATATCTGATGAATTGATTTCTAAGTCCATCTCCTTGCAAGAAGCTGTCTTCATTAAAATCTGATCACTGACACCTGAGGTAATTTTGCCACTGAAAGGATCATTTCAAGTCACCATGTGAGCATGTGTGGTAATGAGATTAGAAGGCATACATAGGTGTTAAGGAAACCCAGAATAAGGGGAGTGCCACTGTGATCAGGCCATTCAGGGTAGGAAAATCCACCTGGCATTTGTCTGGAATGATCTGGAGGAACAAGGAGAGGCTACAGGTTGCTCCCACCATCTAAATGCTGTGATGAGAGCGGACTGTGAGTCCACCTGTAGAAATAGAGAAGTGATGAAGAGATATTCTCCCAAGAAAATGGAGAACATTGATCTCAGTGCCTTTAAAGAAGAAGGATTAAATGATATCACCCATATTTTTGAGATTGGGGTAATGTTGGTGGTCTTATAGCAACTGGGGAGGTTGGATACTGTACACTCAGAAAGAACAGTTTTTGGCTCACTGGGTTTAGGGATAAAGAAAACACAGAGATCACATTGGTACTATGGAATAAGGGCACAGGTTTAATTTAGGGGGTATTTGAGATTCAACATGAATTTACTAGTTTGAAAGTAGATTTAGCATGCTGTGTGAGGCAATATAGGCACTGAGAAAATGTTTGCTTGTAAGGTCAGCAGAAGAATGGATTGATTCTGCCACTGTGATAGCACACTGGCATGGTGATCATGACACCTCTGCAAGTAGGCAGGGGTGGGGGGTGAGTCTGAAATTGTCCCCATGACATTGTGTAGACAGCAATGGGGAAAGTTCCTTGGAGGGAAAGAGATCTTGAATGTGATGCATAAGGAGGTCTTTTATAGCAGGGATAACATGAAACCCATGCATTTATTTAGCACTTACAAAGACAGTCACAATCTCTGTCTCATTTGATCCTCACAACAAGCCCTGAGAGGTTGGAGTGTATTGAATGTTCTCTCCATTTGAAAATTAGATAACCACAGCTCACAGAGGTTAGGAGACCCTCTAGGGCCCCCAGTGAGTAAGTAGCAGAGAAAGGTCTTGAACCACAGCCATATGACTCCAAGGTTAGTGTCTCTCCAGCACACACCAATGCCCTCCTCTGTCAACCATGTCCAGTTACTTCTGTTCCAGATTGATAGAAATTTCCCAGGTTTTCTGTGAATTCTTTTCTTTCTTTCTCTTTTTTCTGCTATCGACATTGCATTGTGCCAACAGAAATTAAGGACAAAACTACAAAGTTCAGCAAAGGGAATTAACAATGAGGGTGGGACTCCAAACCTACCATAAATGGTATAGAGAGGCTGAGAGCAAGGAAGAAGAAGATAATTAATTTTCTAGTAGCTCAAGCCTCCAGGGATACACATTTTAAATGTTTCCACTTTATCCTGTGTAAGTACTGAAAACCCTGGCTCCTTTGAGGATCCAGAATCTAATTGTCATTCTAATCATCATTACTTCTTCAGCCTTCTGAAACTACACAGAGATCTATGCCTGCCCGTGGTGTGTTGCTGTTGCTGGTGTTTGTTAGGGAGGGCTGGATGCAACAGGAAGGCCAAGTCTGTTTTTGTTCCTCTAATGTTGATATTCTCAATCTTCTCTCTTGGCTAGGTTAGAAATCTATTTACTGTGAGCTCTTTTCTTTCATGGAATGGACACCTTTGATGAAGTCCA